ATCCACAACAAAAACTAATGTCTGTTTCCTCTGAGGTTTAGAAGGGAGAAAAGAGAGAGACATCAGACATAAGCTTTTTTAGCCTAATACAATTTCTGAATACATAATTTCCTCTTCTCTAATATCTTGGTAAATAGGGCCAAATGCAGGCATAGATCAAAGCCAGGTTTCTGCATTTTACTGTTCTTTCAGTAAGAGAAATCCAAGCTCCAGTCTCTTCTCCCCGTGAGGGAAACTAGGATCTCTCCAAAAAGCCAGCAGGAGCTGCTGGAACCTTCCTGAGAAACATACTCACCTACTGCAAAGAGCAAAAGGCTAACTAGCAGGGCAAGAGTTATGAGAAAGGGGGCAGTTATGATAAAAATCTATGACATTCTCCCGGGGACAGCCCTGGGGTGTTGTGACAAGAGATTTCAGAGCCAATCGGGTTGGGGTCCAAGCCTCGGTCCCACCACTTTTTGACTGTATGACCTTGGAGAAGTTCCCTGCCTGGTTTTAGTTTCATTCTTTTACATACAGAGATGAAGACAATAACTGATCAGTAAATAGGCAATAGGCCTGGCACCAAAGTGACACTAAATGGTTGCTCTGAGTTATTATTCCTCTTATTATTGATGTTCTCAAGCTCCTATCTTGGGAAAGGGAAGGGAACACTCCATGGGAGCCCAACGTCAGACAGGAACAGGAAGATGCTGTTGACTAACATGGCAAGGAAGCTGCAGGGTGGTAGTTCCCAGTTCCGGCTGGAAACTGGAATTCGGCAAGGATTTTATAGCAATATCCAGACCCTGTGGCCAGACATCCCCATGCAATGGATCTGAGGTAGGTACTTGGTACTGGCTATATCTAAAAAGCTTTCCAAGTGACTTGGAGGTTCAGTTGGGCCAGAGAACTACCTACCTCTCAGGCCCTAAATATCTAGCCTCCCCCGTTGAACTTGCCTTCTGTGTCTGAAAGAGATCTTCTGCCTGGACCCTTGGAGTCTGTGGTTTGCTTCGTCCCCAGCCTACTGCATCATTCTCTAGCAAAGATTCTGGAATTGCTTAATTTCTAGACAAAGCTCTATGGCTAAATTCTTACTTCTGACTAATAGCTATTTTCAGGGGTGCAATGGCTCTCTGAGGAGGAAGGAGAAACATCCACTGCAGTGTTTGCCAATTTCCATGGTGTAAATACTTCCACCATGGCCGATGATAAGCTGCCAACATGACATCACTCACGGCAGAGTCAGGAATGATGAGTGAAACTGGCTCGCACAAACTGATATGAGTTGGCTCTTGCACAGCATTGGAAGTTTTCTTTGTCATATGGTTTCCTAATTTACCAAATACCAGGGCCCCCACTGCTGGTGGCGCCCTGGAAGGGTTGGTCCCCATGGATGCGGCCTTTTTTTCTAACTTCTCAGTGCCTCAGCTGGTTCTGATCACCTCTATTTCTGGTTCTAAATCCCTGAAAGGGTTAGAGAGTTGACACTGGGAAGTTCTCAGGGATAACGCATGTCCTCTGCACACATGATCTCCTTTTACCTTCTCAACAAGACTAAGGAGGAGTAGAGGGACTAATGCCAGGAGAAATGGAGGCTCAGAGAAGGAAAGTGCCTTGTTCTCAGCCACACAGCCAGGACGCAGCAAGCATGGGTGTGGATCTGCTGATCCTGAAGCCTATAATCAACCTAGAAGGATCTCGTTTACTTAACGTTTTAGTTTGGAAATAATTTCAAACCTATAGAAAAGCTGCAAGGGTAAGAAGAGCAGAAAGAACACCCATTTATGGTTCTTCGCCCAGACTCACCTATTGTTTACATCTCGCCCCACTTGCTTTGTCATTTGAAAAGGCAGCATTTAACCTTGGGGAATATGCTTCCCATCTCTGGGCCTTGGTTTCTATGTGCATAAAACAGAAGAGTGGATGGATTATCTGTGTGACTGCAAAAACAAGAACAAAAAACCCACTGTGGTTTGATGAGAAGTGATGGATGAAGGATGGGCTCCTGCCTGTTTCTCCAGCCCACCTGCCATTATTCCTGACGCCACAGACTTGGACTCTGCTCAGTTTCTCTCCCATCCCCTCCCCAGCGAATGTGCCTTCTGTCCTCACACGTGGCAGGTACTGTTCTGCAGGTGCTCAGCTTTCGCCCCAGCCCATTCCCATTTCTGCTCTGCCTCTGCCTCCTCAGCTAATACTGCAGAACAGTCTCCTCCGCTCAGTCCCCAAAGGCCTCCTTTTCTGCAGCTGTGGCTTGAATAGTCCCTCACCTGTCTTTTTCTTTCTAAGTAGGATTAATCTGTGCATGTGTGCATGCGTGCATGTGTGCAAGTGTGTGTGTGTGTCTGTGTGTTGTCAAGGGAGAATCAAAAAGAAAAAAGTTTACACATCCATACAAATTAGCGCCAAGTTTTATTTATGATTCAAGAGTTCTTACCGTGAAAGAAAAATCTCAGCCGGAAAAATGCTAAATGAAAACAAGCAGCTAAAACAAAGAAAGCAGTGAAACCAGGGACATGCATGCCCTGGTTCTCTCTGCTGGTGAACTAATAATTAGCAAAGCTTAGAGGAAAGTACAGAGGACTGGGAATCAGAAAACCTGGGTTTCTAGAACTGCCTGAATGGCCAGCAGATGGATGAGAAGAGTGAGGGCCAGAGAGGGAGAGAGCCTCGCCCACGGCCACACAGCTGCCCACCGAGCTGGGCCGGGAGGCTCGCGTCACCCAGCATCTGCGTCTGCTCTGTCTCCTGCTCCACATGGCTCCCGGGGAAGAAGAAAATAGAAATCAAAACAAAGTGAGCAAACAAACCCAGGGTACCGAAGAGGAAGAGAAAGATGTGGGGGAACCAGAGGTGGAGGGAGAGGGACTGGTCACTGCTGGGCAATGAGTGGAAGACAGAGATGAAGCAGCTGCTTTGACATTCAGCTGGCAAGAGGGCCAGGGAGGAGGGTGTGTCGGGGT